GTCTTTCAATATCGACAGTTTCCTTTTTGTGTTTACGGTTACTGCCACACAATCGGCTGAGAGACCTCCACATGCCACGACAACTGGAGTTTCCCAGGATAGTGTACAGTTTGTTCAACCGATTTATTTCAGCTTGATCAAAATGGTTAGCCGCTTGACATGGATTTTTTGTCTTTGTTTGTAGGCTTGTTCTTTTCGCCTGCTTGAGTAGCGGTGATGAGTATCTGTCTTTATGGATAAAGACCGTTTCTAGGGGACAGCACCGGTTAAAACAGAAATTAAGGTAGTCCGTAACATAATAAATAATAATAAATAATAAACAAATAAAGTGGACGGGATGCCAGTCAATTAGAACCAAACGTGAGCGGAGGCACGGATCCGGGGTAGTTCATATGTAATGACGCACGAGATTGGTAAGCGTGGAACAGCCAGAGTTCAAGGACGATAAGGGTAGATGATGCACAAATGAATGGGACAAGGAACGCTTAGGGGTGGCATGTGAACAATAACAACAATGTACAAAGTATGTCATCATATTAAGTTGGGGCATGATGATGGGCAAAGTACATTTGAAGGTCATCTGTGTAATGGGTGCACAGTTAATCGAACCGTACCTTAGCAAAATCTGTGGTGTGATCAGGTCGATACAGTTCTATTTAATCGGTTATGTTAAAAACATATATATATATATATATGTATATGAAAGAGCTGCATATCCAATGGTTACCCGGTGTTGCAAACAATGTTGTTGTGAGGAAAATACACTTCCTGGGTAGGAATATATGAATGAACTGATAAGAGATTATGGGATACGCATGCCTGATGAGCGGTAAGAATCGCGAAACCGGTTGTGTGCTTTCAGGGGAATTTTGTCTAGTCATTCACATACTACTTATTATGGAATATATATAGGTATAGAAATAGGAACTGGATGTTGACCTTGACACTCCCACCGCAATATTTATTCATCTCACACCGGTCGTTCTTTCTGTCCAAACTTATGATATCCAAAAACTGTTGACTACTCGAGGATTCTTCCTCCACTGAAGCCACAAAGAATTTTTCTACGGCACTTTCCAAATTGGGAACTAATTTTCAGGACAAGGTAATCACTCCCATGGTAAGTGAATCACTTATCACTATTTCAGATCATTTCACAATCATACATCGATCCATTCGATTATCCCCAAACTTCTGATTCCTACTAGAAGGATTGAAACAGTCTAATTGTCTAATTCGCAATAAATTGTTAATTTGGTCATTTAGCTACTATACTGATAGAGCGCTCCAAAGAGTTTTGCCATCTCCATACTGTTTTTCCACACACATTTGGGATATTCCTTATGTTTAAATCCCAGCAGATGAATTGAGTATTTTTAAATAGTTTTTAAGCTTTTCTTTCCGGCAGACTCTCCATGGTGATAAATAATCATAATTTATTCAGGGTGCACTTTGCCAAATATCTTGACGTAACTATAGATACCAATCTTCCTTGGTCAACTCACAATCCACACGTGCGGCGTCTATCATTTCACATTCGAAGCTTAGACAATTTCACATTTTTCAATCAGTTATTTTTCATTGTTTTTACTCTTTCCTAATTTATTTCTTTTTATATTTAGTATTCTAGGCTTGCTGGAACAGGATTTCTGAGGCTTACGCCACGGTCTGACGATTTTATGAGCCACGTTTCCTCACTTTTTTATAAATGGTCTAATTGTGAAATTTTCAGATTATCACATAAGTTCTTTTGGTCAAATTTTTGAAAAGAATTTTTGCAGCCGTAAGCGCTGAATTACGAGGGCTGAGCAAAAAGCTTCCGGTGTACGCAATACAAGACGGGTACAATGGACAGATTACCGAGCAGGGAAAAAGTGACCTGTAATTTATTGTGTATATTATTCAGTGATTACAACTCACGACCAAATATCAACAGTCGAACCAAAATCAGAGAGGCATAAGAGGGTCGATATACTCGAACTGTATGGATGGAACTCGGTCAATATCATTGGACAGCAATGATTTTCTACGATTACAGACAGATGTGGTTTAAAGCAGCAACAGTAGAATGTTGATCGTTTGCGAAATGCCTTTGGTAATAACGCGCCTTCAAGAAGCTCTGTGCTTGAGTGATTTGAGGAATTCAAGTGTGACAAGTGGTGCCTGGATGCTGAGATACAGTGTGATCAAATCGGGGAGGCCACCACGGTGCATGCGATGGTGGAAGAGGATGCGCCGGTTACACGGCTGCCGAAAGCCATCGGGATCAGCTCGCCGCCTCAGAAATTTAGACGCGAGCGCAGTGTGACATAGTAGATGGTGGCTGTGTTTATAGCCAAAGCCAGTCATGTGGCTACCATACCGCTCATACAGCAAAGCACAATCACTGAAGACTGGTAAGCCACCCACAGTCTGCCGAAAGTGCCGGAAGCTGTTGCCAGGCCTTGTCCAAATACTCTAGCGCGGAGGACCTTGCTGCTCCGTGACAACGCACATGCACACAGATCCCATGGCATCGGTAATACCTGGACCAGTGTGACAATTATGTGTTCCCAGATGTCAAACACATGATGTGTGGAATCTAATACAAGTCACAAGCGGTTGCACTGGAGGCCTTTGTTGAACCAGTCGAAGGGTTAACCGCTTCGACATGATCGAACAGTTTCACCAAATGGTTTGAGTGCATGGAACTGTGTTCATGAAAGCTGGTGGAAAATATTTCAAGAAACATTGTGATGCATTTCTTCTTGTAAAAAATAAAACTTGTTGTGCCTCCGAAAACGTTTTGCTCAGTCCTCGTAATACGTTGCCATTTTCATCCTAACACACTGTGGTTCGTTGTATCAAATCTCGCTTACGTCCCCAATCTATTCACATGCTGCTGCTAGCAAGTAAATAGTGCCCTGACCGAAGAGTGCATTATTTTCATAGTCTCTTTGATTTTCCTCGTGAAATTCGTCGAATCTGCTTGTTGATGTTAGTCATCGTGTTAAGTGAAACAGTCGTACTTTTTTGTAAAACGTGCAAAACAATGCAATAATATTTCACATTCGATTTCACCCATACAACTTAGGGAGGCATCCGGTATCCATCGATTAGCATGTAAAATGACTGCCCCGGCAGGTTTTCCTTAGAATTCACCGGAGTCCACCGAATGAACATCCGAGACAAGGTTAATCGTATAAATGGTTGTTTGGCAGATTTGAAGTTTTGAATGGCTGTCGGGGCAATCAGCTTACATGCTGACTGGTGGATGTCATATACCTCCGTAAGGTGGATGGGTAAATTCGAATGTGAAAAGGTCACTAATACCTCTGTGGCCTCATAGTTCAGCTGGTAGAACGTGCGCGTGCAAAGCGTAAACGGCGCCTATGTGTGGGTTTGAATCCCACCGAGGCTACTGAACTTTTCACAATCTCAACATAAAACTTCAAATCTTTCAAACCATCGTTTACACAATGCTATGATAAGTTACTGTTTTGCCCTTCAAGGTTCTAGTTTATTAGATAAATATTTTTGCAAGCATTTTCAGATGAAGACAAGTGATTGATCAAAGGATGACTATGCCATGCAGAGAAAGGAACGGAGTCAGGCGGCGTTTGTAGGGTTCGAGCACACAGACACACACGCGCTATCTAGTTTGATGAGATAACGATCAACTCAACATGATCATTCACGTCACTTTCGAGCAATTGAAGCCGCCATTAATTGGAACTTTGATTCTACACTCGTGGATATTGAGAAGAGATTATCTGTTTCAGGTTTTCAGGTTTTTATCCCACAACAATCATACAGGACAAAGAAAACTCTTGTCGATTAAGTTCTGTGCTTGTAATCGCTACGAGTCGCTTTCGGTAGTGACTTCCAGGCATCTTCCGTAACTTCAAATA